AGAACGTGTTCGGACTCCTGCGCCGCCCTTATGAACCTTATCCAGTATGTAGCCAGCTATGGTGACTTACTCCCCCCTGGAGAACCAGAGGCCAAGCACAGCAGCACTGCACAAAGAACCAAGGTCAGCAGTGACCCCATTCATGAGTAATAGTTATGTAAAGTTATAATACAATTTCAAAATCCTACCAGTCATACATGCTTAGTCTAAGCGTATTTTTGGACAGGCGGAGTTTCCTAGCCGGCCCACATCTCAGACCTCCCTGCTTGCTGAGACTGAGCAGCAGATGTTGCAGGACCTGATGAGTGAAGCCATGGAGGAGACTGATGGGCAGCATACACCAGGGCCGCAGCAGAATGGTGAGGAGTTTGTTCAGTGAGAATTAAAGTTGTAAATCCTTGACTGATGTAACTGTGCTCAATGAGATTTTGTAACATTTCACACATCTGCAGGTGCACATGAAGAGCAGAATCATGACCATGACCCACCTCGCTCAGACCTGTTCCTGTTCCCAGATGAGAGCGGCAATTTTAACCAAGATTCTAGCCCCACTTACCCCATGCTTCACTCTCCTCTCATCACTCCTGTCCCTAACCTGGCCCAAGAGACGGACGACTTTTGTATCCTGGAAACACCTGGTTCCAGAGGAGAGGTTGGGATATACTCATTCACACAGTTATGGCTTTTTAACAGTGATTTTGTGAACAGTGAACTTGTGCTGTCTCACTGTAAGTAATATGTCTTTCAGGATCGTGACCAGGAGCCAGTGGTAAAGCAGCTTACTTCAGACCCGGTGCAAATCAAAGATGATCACTTCAGTCAGCCTCTGGATGGGAGTGATTCCAGTCGTGGAGCCATGAACTTTCCCATCCCAGAGGTGCGCTACCTCATCAAGGAGATCTCTGTCATCTGGCACCTTTATGGTGGGAAAGACTTTGGGAGTGCGACTTTCATAGCCTCTCCTGCTAGAAGCCGGGGGTGAGTCATGCCATGTGCTGTTAAATTGTACAGAGGGTGTTTGAATGTGCTCAGAAGGAAACAAATTGTGTTTTAATTTTTATTCTTTTCTCTCCCTTGCAGGTCTACACCTCATAGCTCCCCCTCTCAAACGCCAGTCCGACAGGCGAAGGCTTCAGGACGGGCAGGAGGTGGAAAGGGAAGGAACCCTGATGTCCTGATGGAGATTCAACTCAGCAAGGTAAAGTTATTCTTTGGTTTATTATGGTACACTCAATCAGATCATATACATTTTTTCACAGTTTAAAACCTTTTCTTTGACCTCAGGTGAGATTTCAACATGAGGTGTACCCACAGGCCCAGGTGGCTTCTGGGTCAGCAGTGGACCAGCCAGTTTCCCGGCAGGTGTTTGTTGTGCAGGACTTGGAGATTCGAGACAGACTGGCTACTTCACAGATGAACAAGTTCCTCTACTTGTATTCTAGCAAAGAAATGCCCCGCAAAGCACATTCTAACATGGTAAGAAAGACAACACACTCAGTTTAACCCACTGTTAAGTGTTGGCCTGGTGTAACTTCTTGTGTGCTTTTGCTCATAGTTGACAGTTAAGGCTCTGCACATGTGTCCAGAGTCAGGCCAGGCTCCTCAGGAGTGCTGTCTGCGTGTTTCCCTGATGCCTCTTCGTCTCAATATTGATCAGGTACACAACTTGATACAGATCATTTCTCTAGTGTTTCAAAGATTAACTCAGCTTCCTCAGTAAAAAGTTTTTAAGTGACAGCTCTGTTTTTTGTTTGTTTGAAGGATGCACTATTCTTCTTGAAAGACTTCTTTACTAGTCTTACCACTGAAGTTGAGTTTTTCTCACCGCCTGCTCAAGAAGGTAAAACTGATAATTCACACAAACATCCTTAGTTGTAAACCTTATTTTCAACTAAAAGCTCCTGATGACGTTTTGTTTCCCAGCAGTCTGTGTTTCCACAAAGAAAGCAGCTGCCCCCGAGATCTCCTGCAGCTTCTCCAAGCACGCTGGCAGCAGCCAGGACCCGGCTCCAATCATCTCCGTGCCTGCTCAGAGACGCTTGAGCCACAATGGTTTCTCTTCATCTGGCAGGGAAGAAATTATTGATGAAGCTTCTGCTCCCTCTTTCACAGACCAGCCAATCTTCTTTAGGTCAGTGTAAAAAAAACTAAACCCTTTGGAAGAAATAATTCAATAGATTTTTCTGTATTTGGTCACATTTTCTTTTCCTAACAGGGAGTTTCGATTTACCTCTGAGGTTCCCATTCGCTTGGATTACCATGGGAAACATGTCTCGATGGAGCAGGTATGTGGTCTAAGAGCATTTGCATTAATTCCACATTATGTTATTAGTGCTTTATGAATAACTAAATGACTGCTTTGCTTCAGGGAACATTTGCAGGGATCATTATTGGGTTGACACAGTTGAATTGTTCAGAGCTGAAACTCAGACGGCTGTGCTACAGACAAGGGTATGTTTCTTTCACACACCACAATACACAATGTGTCAAATATGCAATTCCCTATGCAGAGAGACTTTTCCAAATATACTAATACTTGTCGTTCTTTCAGATTATTAGGTGTGGATAAGCTGTTTTCCTATGCAATAAACGAGTGGCTAAATGACATAAAGAAGAACCAGCTGCCAGGTCTTCTGGGTGGTGTAGGACCTATTCACTCACTGGTACAGCTCGGTGAGTCAAAGACATGTTTTTAACCCAGTCATGAGCTTTTTTTGTGTTTTCAGGTGCATTTATATTTAACCCATAATATAGTGAGATTGAGCTTCTACTGCAAAACTTATAAACTTTCTTTATGTTTTTACTGCCATACTCAATACAATCAATGTCTTTGAAGCTGGGATAACATGTAATTCATGATTTCATTAATAAACTGCTGTGAATGTCATTTATAGTTCAGGGATTCAGGGACTTGGTCTGGCTCCCGATTGAGCAGTACAGGAAAGACGGTCGGATAGTCCGCGGGTTTCAGCGCGGCACTGCCTCCTTTGGAACCTCTACTGCTATGGCTGCTCTGGAGCTCACCAACAGGATGGTGCGGACTATACAGGTAAAGTAGCTTGTCGACTGTCACTAAAGTGTCTGTATTCATTAGTACTGCCTTGTGAAGCATCAAACAAATATATGGCATTGTCTGATTTTCAGGCAGCAGCTGAGACAGCCTATGACATGGTGTCTCCAGTGCCTGATGAGAGAGACACAAAGAGGATAAAACGGTTCTCCCATTACGGACTGGCTCACCAGCCTGTGGACCTGAGGGAAGGTGTAGCCAAAGCCTATACTGTGGTAAAAGAGGTAAACAAGCTTGAATGAATATTTCAGCTCCAGTAACATTAATGGGAATAAAGTGTTGTTTATGCATATAATTGTATGGTGTTCCTATCTACAGGGGATCACAGACACTGCACTGACTATCTATGACACAGCCACCCGGGAGCACGAGCAACGTGGGATGACGGGGGCAGTGGGTGGAGTTCTCCGACAGTTGCCACCAGCAGTAGTCAAACCACTCATTATGGCCACTGAGGCCACCTCCAATGTTTTAGATGGGATGAGGAACCAGATTCACCCTGATGCTCGCCAGGAGGAGTCGCAGAAATGGAGACAGGGCGAGGAGTAATTCTTGTTGCCATATGGTACCTGAAGCCATGACTGTGCAGAAGCAAAGAGCTGATAAATGTGTTGGAAACTTTCTTCAGAGCATTTTTGAAGAGGAACATCTCAGCTGTGCATTACAGCCCTGGTGTAAATAAAATACTGCTCATCTCGTGGCAATTTGAGCTACTGTGATTCAGCTTGTGTCAGCTTACCAGTTCCCTCACAGTGCCTTCATGGTTATCAGCATAGTCCAACTGTGTGTTTCGTCAAAGGGATGTATGAAGAATGATGAATTAATGAGCCACATATCTTTATGCGGATTTTGTTCTGTTGTAGAATAGACAATGGCATTTTAAATATAAAATAACGAAGAAATATGCTGTTGTCTCATGAAGTGCAACCATTTGCTTCGTTCTCAAACAGCTGTTTACAAGTTGTGTGGTTACATTCGCTTATCCTACTTGGTGTTGACGAACACTAATGTCATAGGTGTAATGACCCTTAATTTATATAACGTACTGTATGTGGGCGTTTGTTATTTACTGTAAATATTCCTAATGTGTAACATTTCATGCAAATACAAGAGCACTAATATAGAAACTGAATGTGTTACAGCTGTGTACATTTCTATAATCAGCACTTTTAAGTGACTTGAAGGGTTATTTGCCCAAATTTATGATGGATGGGAAGATTGCCCAAATTTGTTATAAAGTTTCACAATTTTATTTTGAGCTGTGATCACGTTGTGTAATTTTCACAGAAGCTGCTGTCCTGAAAAGCTGCTTTTAAAATTTAAAAACAGTTTCAAATGGGGTTCTTTTGGTCAGTTTGCTCACATTTTCGAATTGTAGATACATACTTGTACAAGGAACTACATCAACTCAAATTCTTCAAGCAAAGTCTTAATATCCTGCTCGATGGATTTTTTTTTTTAAAGTGTATGTTTGAATATTGGTACTTGGCGTGATATGTTGTGTTGCAGATATTTGATTTGCTCATTTTCTTGTTTATGTGGAAAGAATATGTCTTGTACATACGTGTACAGTTGATCCTTGAATTTGTATTAAAAGCATGAAAGGGAATTAAAAATGGTTCAAGTCAACGCAATGGAGTGTGGTTGGTGTGATCTTGCTTTTCATAATCTGAATGTAATGGACTTGTAGGCATTCCTATAAGTCTACCTTCATACCCATCTCATATGGGAGATTTTGGAGAACCAAAATGAAGTTGTCATGGATGGATTTCTGTTTCGTGTTTTGTTTTGATGAGAATATTTTCTTCTTAAAAACATTTTATTTTGATACACAGTAGCTTAATTTATGCTTTTATTCTGAAAAACCTGCAGCGTTTGGCTCGAGATGTACTTTGAAATATAGAACCCGTTAAATCGGAAGTTGGTCATGTTGGCATGGCAACAGAACGACGAAGCATTTTTTTCTTCTATGTTGTAGGTTGAAAGGCTTGTCAGTGTCTACTTTCTGTCAATATTAGCTCTGTTAAAACTTAGGCGATGGTGGACGTAGCTGCTGATTTGAGCAGCTTTTCTTTTGAGACTGGACTGACGGAAGATGAGAAAAAGTTACTTTACCTTCGTGCACGCGCAGCTGGACTCACTTTTTGCGGGTGCGCGCACGCTCTTTACTTGTGCAAACTTGTCCACTCACTGAGGTAATTTGTCTCTAAGCCTATTTAAAGTGATTGTGATACACAGGGAGAACTTTACAGTAACTTAAAGCAGAGTTTATGGTAATGATTGAAGTCATTCTAATTGATTCAGATGTATCATCACAAGTCCCGCTGCACAAACAGACTCAGTAACATCAGGAGAAGACAGTGACCTCTGTGTGGGAATACTTGGGCTGGGTCACATGGGAAAACAGCTGCTTCTGTCTCTCCTGGAAATGACTAGTATCAAACCATCACACATTAAAGTCTCCACAAGAAGACCAGAATCTGCAGGTAGACTGATATAAATATTTACTCGAGGCACCTCTGTGGCCAAATCGAAAGCTCATTCAGTTGTTACAATACAGTGAAGCTTACTGAATTAGCCAGTGTGGCTTATGTTGACTAATAAGTAGATACTAATAAATGCATTATGTTTTCTGTTCTACAAATAAAAATGTCATTTATTCATTTGTAACAAAGGCAGCTGTCACCACTAATACAAAAATGTTAACATGCTCAGTTTAGATAGTAGTCATAACCACATGATATTCATGAGTTAATTATTAAACACTACTTTATTTAATTAATTTACACCATGAGCCTACACTGAAAAGGTCATATTTACATACTCAAGATGTTGTTCTTATGTTTGTCGTGTTGCCTTTGTGTTTCAGCTGAATTTGTCCAGATCGGGGTCGAGTGTTTCTTTGACAATCGCAGACTGGCTGCATGGGCTGACATTCTGTTCCTCTGCTCTCTGCCCTCTCACCTCCCTAAAGTCTGTGCTGATCTCCACTCTCACCTGTCAAAACACTGCCTTGTGTACAGCTTCACCTCTGCTGTGCCTGTCACCAGGTATTGCAGCACTCATACAAACATACAACTGGCGTTTTTTGGTATTTTCAGTCAGTATATCCCTCTGTTTTGAATTTCTGTTTCAGGTTAGCTGAACTTCTTGGACACAACTTCATTCTAAAACCACAGTATGGCTTTGTGGGTGTTGACACTGCAGATGTGTGGCTGTCCTGCACTGATCTGTCCATGGCTTTGAAAGATCCTTTGCTGATAGAGGCATCGTGTCCTCTTACAATGAGTGGTATGTCATGTTGAATTATTGTAGACATTGAACTTGTTATGTAAGATGTAAGGGCAAACACTTTTGCCAAATGCAAATTTGATGTTGTGAGACTTCACCCTTGATTTGACTTTTTTTTATTAACTTGTATTCCTCTATAATCTTTTAATCTGTCTTGTGACTCCCATATACTATAGGTGCCATCACTCTGAGTCTGAACTGGGTGTGTGCAGTGTTGTACAGCCTGCTGAATATCTGCACCTCTGCCAGTCTGCCATCCAGTAATGCCCTCTCTCTGATCAACAGCCTCTTCAAAGAGAAATGGACACACACTGTGCAATTAAATGCACAGAGTTTCATCAGTTCATCCTTTGCATCTTCCCTTCGTGGAGAGGAGTGAGTACAATACTGTATACTTAAAGGATGCAGTGCTGCTTTTGTTTACCTTAACCAGGATAATGTCACTGCATATTAAGTGATAAGCTCTAAACTTCACTTTGGTGCAGTGTTACATCAAAGAAAAGAAGAAACAACTATTATATAAGGAGAGAATAAAGGAAGACAAAGAAAGCACAGATTTAAATTACTGTTATGCTTTGACTTTGTTTTCCCTCAAAGGTCTTTTCCCTGGATTTCTCTCACTGATGCCCAGACCAAGGAGACACCACTGCTGAGGTTTCTATCAAGCAATAAATCTATGCAGCAGTGCATCTCTGTGGCATACAAATCACTGCTGGGGACACCAGTATCATTGGACACTCTTATGTAAATATTATAATTAAGGATGTGCACCTCAGTAGCAGTAGTACGTTTAAAGACTGTGCCCCTTGTGTTGAACATACAGTTGTGAAAATTGTAATGAATAAATCTGAATAAAAGGGACAATGTTTTGTGATACCCACAGCTATATATTATTTTTAATACTTTTGTTTTTCATACATAAACAGTATGGTAAATATATAGACATATAGACATATCTCTTTTTTTTTTTTTTACAATGCACAAAAAGCAGGACTAGTTGGTATATTCTGAAATATATTGTAAATCGATCATAAATGAAAATTTTGATGAAAACCTGTCATCTTGATGTCATATCAACCTCCCTGCAGTCTAAAAATGAAATAAAAGAAATCTGTCTCTCTCCTCATATGACGTGGCTTTAGCACATTGTTTTAAAATCCATATTACTTAGATTATATGATGTAGGAATTAGAGCAGCTGCTGGAAGCCCTCGGTGAGGAGGATTAATCTCTTGTACAGGATGTCTGTGCCGCCTCAGATTCGCCTTTTTTCGTCAACACTCGAGAAAACACGGAAGTCTCAAAAAATTCGCCTGTTTTTTCCTGTCAAGCAGCAGCACCGTGGAGATCCGTCACATGATTGCAGTGATATGGAGACGTCTTCTTTCCAGATGACCTGAGTTGGATCAAAGTAAAACCGTATCGAGTTTGCAGAATATCAGCGTTACATCGTGGTAAGATAAGTTTGTGCTCAGTGTGCCCGTTGCTCCGGCTGCACTTTTACGGCTTGTTAGGTAGCTAACGTCAGCTAACCAGCTAGCCAGCTGGAAGCTAATGTCAGTTTGCCAAGATGGAGCTAGTTAATGAGACCAGAAACTACCACACATACACACAATTCCTTTCTAGGGCTTTAGCTATTAATTCACAAGTCTGAGCTGTGGTTAACATGGTCCATTAGTGTCAAATAGCAGTTTGTTTAATGTATCCAAACTGCGTTATCAGGCTAGTTTCAGTGTTGTCATCTCTTTCCCTCCCTGTGGTTGGAAGGGGCGGGGTTTCATCTTTTCAGCCACGCAGACTGAGGTGTTTGCCTTGTCTTTACAGCCATGGAGAGATTAGAAGCTACATCAGAGCTCCAGTCACGGCTGTCATCCCTCTCCTTCTCGTCTTTTCCCGGAATAACATCCAAACAGTGCGACAACAGACCGCTTGACAGGTAACTTGTTGCTGCAGAAAGTATTTCTTATAATGCTAATATCAGGACTGATACATAATTCTAGTTATGTTTATTGCATCTGAATGTCACCACCTTATAAATATTGGGCTTTATTTAATGCTGTTCATCTATATTCACTTCAGGCTGCAGAATACAGATCTTTCACAGAGCTTTGTCCAATCTGATAACCAGGCTAATATGGATGAAACCAAGGAAGATTCAAGGCAGTGTTCAGAGGTAGTTAATGTTTAAGTATGTTAGAGAAGCTGTCACTGAGTAGCAATAAACAGGGAAGTACAATCTAATACAATTTTTATGTAATAATTTGTCTTGAATGTGTGCATTTTGAGGGTAATGAAGAGGCCCCTGCTGAGCCGGCCCTGGGGGAAGGAGGCAAGGAGAACAACAGTGCTGGGAGCTGTCAGCTCTCCTCTGAGATGAAAGGTGAGGACCTGCTGAGTGTGCCATCATGACTGCTGCTTTGTTTTATCTACAATTTTAATTCAGAGGTTTCATGAACTGGTTACAAATCTGTTCAAAGTGTAATACATGCTCTAAAAATATACATCTACATTTTTATATGGATTGTGTAAGCTAGATAAATAATTTTCTGCAAGGCTCTTTGTGACCACACTGCCATTTGTTCCTCCTGATGGCAGCCCAGATGCCGCCCCTGAAACCTCCGACAACATGGACATCTGCTGCACTAAAGGAGCTCAAGGCAAAGCTTCGACTGGAGAAGGACAGCGTGGTGACAGTGTACCGAGGCGACATCATGACAGTTCACGTGCCCACTGTTCCCGAGGCCAAAAAAGTGTGCTGGGAGTTTGCTACAGACGGTTATGACATTGGCTTTGGAATCTATTTTGACTGGACTCCTGTCACAAACCGGTCTATCACAGTGCACATCAGTGAGTCGAGCGACGACGAAGATGAAGAGGAGGAGCTGGAAGGTTAGTTGGATGACGTCTATAAAAAAATATCAGTTCTTTATTTATAAAACACACCCTAATTGTGTTTTTATTGTGTTTTCCTGCAGCTGGAATCTTAGACAGTGCGTTGACTTTGTGGTTTATACGATTTCTGTTTCAGGGCCTGTCAGTAATGGAGATGTTGAGAAGGGCTCCAAAAGTCAAACCAACTCAAACTTGGCTGAAATCTTACCTGTATATCGTCAGGACAGTCACTTGTCTGTCTACGGGGGGAGCCACGATTTTCCAGGTGAAGGCACTTACCTGCTGAAGTTTGACAACTCCTACTCACTATGGCGAAATAAAACTCTTTACTACAGGGTTTATTACAGTGCCTGAGATGTCAATCTATTGTTTAAGAATGATATTCTTAATAACAATGAATTATTTTTGATTCCATACTTGGGAAAAAAATTAAGTTATAATATAAAAAGTTAAATATAGGCATATCTATTTTTATCACTACCAGCTTGTGTTGCCACATGTTGAATTTACATATATTGTCAGATAGTTCTGCTCCAACATTTGCTCCAATATCTTGCTGATATATATTTAAAGAAGCCTTGCATAGGTGCCATGTTCCCATGTATGCACTGTGCTATTTGGTCAAGTGCCCATCATAAAACATATATTGTCTTCTGCCGTAAGATTTCTATGGTAGCAGTGATCAGGGAACACCTGCAGAGAATATATTTCACCAGGCCAGGTGCTTAATCAGCAGTGCTCTAAAGAAATGGAGGTTTTCCGTTGCGTGTGTGTATGCGTGCACTTTTTATGATTATGATTGTTCTGTTGCTTTGTTGTTGTTACTTTTATTTATCCTCCTGCTTTGTAGCGTAAATTATTTTTTATCTGTGCTAAATCCAATCGTGATAATGGAAAATACAATTATGAACACAACCTCTGTGCACAGACATGTTTTCTATCATAGTGGTGTGTTGGTAAAAGATTTAAGTTGAATGTACTGAAGCAAGTGGTGACAGTTTTTCAGAGTGTGCTTTTTATGACACAAATAAAAGCCATCCCTTATCACATAAAGCTCTTATTATGTAATATAGATTCAATATTTACATTTGCCCTCCCACCTTTTACTTTGCTGTTTCGGAAATAGGGAGCAGTTGTAATAGTTAATCTAAATGTATTTTGTGCGCTGCAGGTCTATGGAAGTGAAAGTCAGTGTGTTTTGAATATCCTCCGTGCATCAATCCACTACTTTGGATTTGGTTGTGTTGGATAGCTTTGTTTCATCCTGTTTTTAATATCAACGCTTCTACCATGTTCACTTGTGCGCATGTTTCCAAAGATGTCACAGATTTGGCTGCTAACACCGTACACAATGTAAAGCAACCGGTTTAAAGCCTCCCATGTTTGCTGTACTGTACCTTCACTGTAGGTTATGATAATATTTGTTCCTGAAATTTATATTCCACAATAAAGAGAAGATTGTCTAGTTGTTATTGTGATTAATTTGAGGATTAGATCAACTCTAAAAAAGAAAAACACTTTGAACAGCCATTAGTAGTTTCTTGTACAGAAGCTAAATGTTGCAGCATGATTAACTTGAAAAATGTCATTAAGACTGCTGGTGTGTGTAGTGTCTCATTTCATAACAGTCTCACTGCAGTTCCAGGATTAGAAAGCGCTTCAGGATGGTCCCTTGTGTGTCCATTAAATTGTGGCATTAGGGGATTGATGTCATTGTTACAGAGGGGCTGATGAAACCAGGTTTTATTTTCAGCTGTCCCTAAAGGCCAGTCAGAATCCAGAGTTACATTGAGTGTCAAACATATTTTACTGGATTTCTAAAAAGTGAGATAGACATATTCTTAAATTGTTCTTATATGACGCTTCTCCAAATATGTTGTGTTTTAGTTATAACTAAAATCTTCAGTTAGAATTGAATAATTACTGATGATTTGATTATTTTGAAAGGTGTGGACAGGATACATGCAGTAAATTAATGAATGTACTGATAAATCTTTACACTTTCTTTTGCAGATAAAACTACATTTTTCAATACACAGTTATGAATATATTATCTACACCAGCCATCAAAATTTCATGTTTCATTTATTTATTTTTGTGTCAGTGGAGCTGATTAAGCTCTGTAGGCACACAGACTAGTGTAAGGTGTTGTTGTATTGTATGAAATCATTTAAGTTGTGTGTAGAGCTTTTTACTTTTCCTGTAATCTCCAATCAATCAATTCAAATTTAAGACTTCTACTCGTCTGTTTGACTTTGTATAAATTGTTTCTTAACATTATAACAATTCTTTCCAAATATAGCTGTAATCTGTAAAGATGGCTCAGAGTGCCCTCATATAGGCTATATATATGTTTATTTAAAAAACATCTCTGAAAATAAACCATGTATTTATGGCTGTAATTAATTAGTAGTTCTACTTAAGTTGTTTGCACAGGTGCGGCAAGCCATTAATAAAAAAAATTCCATGGGAGAAAAAAAATCAGTTCTGTTCAGTAATACTTGGCCAAATACGGTACTAAATTTGCTAAATTGAGCCGCCTCTATGTGCACTGCACACTGACTCCTGGTAACACATTCAATTAATTGTGATGCGTCACAGGTGTGCGTTTTTACAGCGACCTCGAGCTCTGTTCAGCCAATCACAAGCGTTTACCGAAGCTCCATTTTGCACCCGATTTTTCGGGATTTCATACTGCGACGTCTCTGCTAGAACAGTCACCTACGACCCTGAAACAACATGGGGAGGCTGAATTTTTATGTCCTTTGGTCTCTGCGAGACGCTCCACGCCAGTTTATCAGGTATAGCTACCTTTCTGAAAACCTCCATGCAGCCGTTTTTCCCAAACACAGCCATTCAAACACGTTGACCAGTTCTTTCCTTTGGCAGCAAATCCGACCGAAGGTGCTTCCAAGTCCACATCCCGCTGCCTCTACCCAAACAGCTGGTCATCTTTGGTCTTGGAGAGTGGCCAGGCAGTGACACAACAATCTCAGTCGATGTTCTGGTCAGTGCAGAGGTACAGTCCCAGAAAATTGGGACTCTGTCAGTTCAAGCAAGGTATGTGGAGGAAATAGATACTTACCATACAAAACTAAACAAAAAAAACGGCTCGTGTCTAAATTTGTTAAATCATCTTTGAGCTCAGGTGCCTTACCTGGGAAGGTGACTGGAGCACGGACATTGTCACAGTGGCAGCAGAGAGGGGCAGGAGAGGAGTTTATGGCAAGATTGTGCTCACAGTGTGTGGAGAGGTATAAGCTTTTCAGTAAATGAAAGTTAACAGGGGACGTTAACCATTAGGAAAACAAAACTTGTACTGCAAAAACCGACCATGAAACTTATTAATATTGGTTGTAATTGAAGAGACGCAGTTTACAAGCACAGTCTGTGGGGTTTTCAGTTTTTTGTTTCATGCAATGACTTGTGACCAGCCACAGGATAAAGCCAGTGTCTTCAGCAGTACTCCTCTGGTTCAAAGGAAATGTCTGTTCCCAGAACAGCACACTGCAACTGATCTCTCCAGCACATTACATGAAAGTGCTGCAAATGAAACGGTAAGATAAGTAGGGTTAAAATTGTTTTGCTGTTGTCTACGCTTTTGTTGCAAGTTTTCTTCATCGTCCTCCCTTACAGATAACTACCTATTCCTCACAGTTGGGTGATAGTGTTTGCTTTGCTGAGATCCAAGTGAATAAAATCGACACCAGTGATTCCACTGTGGGAAATAAACCGCCAGTTTGGCCTACGGTAAGAGTCATGCTTGCAAACGTATTAAGGTCTGCATGTGGTGTATATAATTGATTCTATGTCTCGTAAAGGACAAGACACCCAGGCGGACAGTAATTAATAAGAGAGGCTACCTGACATGGAGCTCTGAGGACATGGACAGCCTTGCTGAGGACATAGACCAGGCTTCAACCCCCAAGAAAAAGAGACTGTCCAGGATGAACAGCCAAGAAGAAATGACAGTGCAGATAAAGAATGAGAACAGAGAAGGTCAGGAACAAAAACATTACACCTATCTTTTGGTCACATCTGAATGCACAAAATGGGGTCTGACAAATATCTTGATTTAGTTTCAGTGTGTCCATCGGCTCGCTGGAGCCATACGATGTGTCTGAGTGACCCTGACACTGCCATCCTCATTGGAGGGGAGACGGCAGATCAAAACTACTGCAAGGACTCCCTGTGGAAGCTTGAGTTAGGTTGGTGGAGTTCATTTATAGCATATGGCACCAAAGGAGAAATCAAGACAGATAAGGCGGCCATAAAATACCTATTTAAATTGAATGTATTTCCACATGCTTTTGTCATATTTGGTTACCTGACCTCTTCCCAGACAGTGACTTCTGGTTCCCCATGAACTCCTCTCTGTCTGAATCTGTACCACTGTGTGCCCGGGGACACTCTGCGACCTATGACCCAGACTCCAAGTCAGTCTTTGTTTACGGTGGCCTGAGGGAGGGTCAGCGCTACAGCGAGCTGTACATCCTTAATACCCTGACCTGGAAGTGGAAACTTGTCACTGTGGGTTTGTTGCATGTTACTTGCATATTGCAGCTCTGAAATTCTTATCAAATACTGAAGCAGAGATTGTTTTTGTGGATTTACCTCCTGTAGGCAAAAGGGAATGTTCCAACTTTGGCATATCACTCTGCAGTGTTTTATAAGAAAGAGCTTTTTGTCTTTGGCGGAGTCCAGCCGGGGCCTTCTTCTGGGGATAAATCCTGCAGTAATGCTTTGTACATCTTCAACCCAGAGTTTGAACTCTGGTACCAGCCCATTGTGGAGGGAGACAGACCTCTGCCTCGGTTTGGGTCCGTGTCCTTTTGAAAACAGCTACAGTAAATTAACTGTAACCTTGATGTTTTCTTTTTCTCCATCAATAACATCATGATGTTTGTATTGAACAGGCACTCGGCCACGCTTCTCTTACAGAGGTTGATAATATTTGGTGGCCGGAAGACTGCAACCTACCTTAATGATCTCCATGTTCTAGATCTGGGTAAGATGCGGTTTGTTGGGTGCATTAAGTGGTAATGTTTGTGTCCAGGTTTAGACTGATATTTATTTTTGTGTCCTTACTGCGTGAAGGATTCATGGAGTACACAGCTGTGAAGTGTGGGAACATGCCACCACTGCCTCGAGGGTGAGTACAGAGCTAATCAACCTTGAGAAATGTCATTGATGCACCCATCTGGTTTGAGTATTTTTATGTGTTGGACAGAAACTGCATTTGAATCTAATGGGTTTTAACACCAAATATTATCTCTCACTCTCTAGTGACAAAATTATACCATCTTTGTGCATTTTTTTTTTCTAGCTTTACATGAAATAATTTTTTTTTTTTTTTTTTTTTTTTAAAAAGTGAAGACTAGCTATAGAAGAATAATGGTACAGACAAAACCCTCTTGCATGTACATGGGCAGGTTTCATGCAGCACTCCCAGTTTCAGACAACAGGATTTTAGTCAGTGGGGGCTGCAGTGCAATTGGAGCCCTGCAAGACTTACATATCTTCAGCACTGGTGAGTACTGATCCTCTCACATATGCAGTAATTTCTGCCAATTCCATCAATTCAATCCTGAGTACTGTATCATTGTGATCCATTAGTCCATAATTGTTTAATAAGGTTGGTATGTAGCACTGACAGACATGAAACCTGTCACCCTGTTTCAGTTTGTCATATATACTGTGTATATATATGTTACAGGAGTCCTGCCTTGATTTCTCCTCAGATACCAACATGTGGAGTTCAGTGGCATCTCCTGTGCTTTGCTCCAAGCCTCGTGCTGGACACAGCATGATAAGTTTGGGCTGCTCCTTCCTAAGAGACACTGAGAAGCATGAACAAGGTAAAAACGTCAAAGTCCGGTGCACATTGATGGTGTTCGGTGGCTCGGACTGCTCTGGTACTTTCTACAACGACACAGTCAAGTGCACAGTGGAGGTACCTGGTGACAAGTGACAAGAAGAAATCCAAGCAGGACAATTGTTTTCTAATCTTTAAAAATGGAGGATGATGCTGCAACCTAGTATGTCCAAGTGTGTTTGTCTTAAGTTATTTTTCTACTTGGCTCTCTTTCTTTACATATTATATAATTGTAATGATGTGTTTGACAGCTTAGACTTTACTGTAGCCTCTTTTTTTATTCCTGAGTCTCTTCAATAATCATCCATGCTTCCACCATACAGCCAATAAGCTGCAAGAGTTGGGCACTTTGCATAACAAATCTCTGATCTGTGTTTTTTTACACATTACTTCATGTCCTGTACCTCTTCCTCACATATTGGTACATATTTGACAGTAAAGTGCTAGACTAGGCAAAATGGTTAAAATTTTTATCAAAATGCTAATAAATATATCAAAACTCAGTCTCCTTAATCCTTAAAGTCATTTGAAATAACGGCACTGAAATAGGATTATTTTCAAAGTGTTTTATTTAAGAATGTATAAAGTTGTATGTCTGCATCTACGGCTGTCGAGCTGTTATTTTATGCACGCAGATCAGCAGGTGTGTCTGGTTGGGAAGACGGGTGGCTCACTTTGAAAGCCTCAATCTCAAGTAAGGTTTGATTTAACCTTTTGATAGTTGGATACTGCCCGACATCCACTTTGAACCTGTGGAGATTAAAGACAGAGACAAATAGGATTTTTAAAGTTTAGTAGGGTTTAGATACACAGGGTGGATTTAATGAAAACAGAAGGGTAAATATATATGTATATATATGTGTGTGTGTGTGTGTGTATGGTAACTCATTCAAGTACAAAATGTCATAACATTCATGTTTATCTTTTTGTGTTCAGGGTGACTTTACCTCTCTGCATTGTAGACTTGAGGGACCAAACAGATGTCTGCCATGGATATCTAAAAGGTACAAAATAAGTCAAATGAAAAGTGTCTGCTGTGTGTCGCACTGTTGCGCTTAAATATGATGACCAGGCTCTTACCTCATCACCTACACAGTACTTCCCTGCTGTTTGCTTTAGAATGGGCTCAAGAGCTGGACAAGAACAAAATAATATATGTGAGTAATATTGTAAAGAATGTCAAAAGATGAAACTTTGGAATAACTTGGGGATGTGTCATTATAAAGCTGAGCTTCCACCAACCTTGGAAACCACGATCAATGAAGTGCTGAGACCACTGCACCTTATCTGCTCCTATTTTCTGGATCACATACAAATTCTGAAACATCCAGGATTTAATGGATATTGTGAAATTAGTCAATGTTGTGACATTAAGGTGATTTTATTATTTCAAACCTGAACCAGAATAGTGATACCATTTGAACTGTCTCTTTCAGTAACCACTCACCTGCAGCGGCTGTATCCCAGAGGCAATGAGATCACTTATCATCCGAACCTGGGCACGTTTCTTTGGGTCTGCTGGAAGGAGTCGAGGTCCTGGCCTGGTCTCATCGATGTACTGGATCACTGCCAGCTGTGTGAGCGTAAACATTGTCACTGGCTTGTTACAGCTGCTTGTATAAAGTACAGTATCAGGATAATGCGGGTGAACAGTTCAGGGACTCACTGATTGAGAAAGGGTGATGCCATCCATTTCCACTGCAGGCACTTGTTGCATGGGGTTTAATGTTTTGTACTGTTCAGTGAGCTTGAGCACATGGAGATTCTTTGTGAGACTGTATTTTGTCTAAACTTGGACATGGTTTCATGTTGTTTTATCATGGATAAAAATGCTAGAATACATTAGATACATCTCATGCTATAGATTTGTAAAGTAGGTCATAGTTGCATCAAGTGTATTGTACCTGCTGACCTCCATCTTTGATTAGATTGACTGGAACCTGGTCATATTCAATACCTTTAAGAGCAAAAGCTGGTGCACAAAAAGTTAATTATCATCTTTTTGACATCAAAATGATTTTGATACAAGTTGAAGCAGATTAGTGCTGTGTCATCACTTACCAATGCGAACCCTCCAGGAGCAGGAGCTTCTGAAGTATCCATGAAGAACAGGCTATAAACAAAAAGCCACATGAAAACATTCAGTCCATTTGAAAACACAAAAAGCCACATGAAAACATTCAGTCCATTCGAAAACACATCACACTCCCCCCTGACATAGTAAACTTTTGATGTGTCTGCTGGTTCACCTTGGTTTGTGTTGCCATTTCTTTGACTCTATAGTTTTCACAGTTTGACTATTGCATTCAGTGTTTCTACAAAGTTGACCACATCCTCATCATTCTCCAGTAGCCAATAGGATGTGCTCCTAGAACTCCCTCCTACCTACTCTTTGGTCCATGACTAGGCAACATTTGGTGTTTCATATGGTTCACATTAGCGACCTGCTGCACGCACACACACTTAGCAAACAGCTAACAGTGATATTACAGTACCTTGGCGAGGCAAACTAAGGACAAGTGCATTGTTGTGGATGCGATAACGTTATCACTTTTATTTGTAGGATAAGTTGTGCTTGCTCAAAGAGTCGTCGGTTATGTCCTGCACATTTCAAAGCAAGGTCCTACTTCTTGTCTTCCATGATGAGTAAATAATGTCACGTAGACATAGCATGAGAATACAACACTTTCAGCCTGAACGATCGGCTCTTGTGATTTGCAGCAGGACTCTTGGTCACAGTTCAGCTCCTGGTTGCATAACTTCCTGCCTGTAAATGGAAGATTGCCAAATTTCTTTCTCCAATGGTTAGTTGACTTTCCCCTTTTAAGGCGGGATTATATAAAATCCTCACTAGGGATTGGATATAAAGCTCCCACAGTGGACCAATCAGGCTGCGTTCATCTGGGGCGTTCGAACATGGAGCGAATAGCAGGCCGAGGAATTCCTCAGAGCCCGCCCACAGGTGATGCATCTGCGCGAGGTAGAAAGCTGAATGCTGTCTTCTGCTGGCCACCGTCCTATTTGCGGAGTTGGAGAAATCAGGTCGGCCTAGCAAAATAAAACATTTTCATCATGGCGTCAACAGCATTAAGATCAGTGCTAAGGACAAAGGTAAGATTTGAAGGTTTTCAAGCCTTAAAAATCTCAGTAACGTTGCAAATGACGTAGACAGGTTTGACAGCTCACATTGTTTACAAAGTGCCAGGGGTCATGTGCTGCAGGATTTAGTTCTGGATTGATTTGTTTCACACAGATGGGGTTAACTTCAGTTGTTTGCTCTCTTCAGTAGATATTTGATGCATATTCTATATGCATTCATTCTTCCAGCCCACTCCAGTCAGCTTGACTTTGTCCCCTTCAAGCCCCTTCATAACTCCAAACTGTAGTTGCTCATTAATCTTTTAGGCCTTCGGCTGCAGCTGGAACAAACTGGTTGTGTGCATTTAATGTTCTACAAAATAAGTAAACAAAACTTACAATTATAGCTTATCGATAATGGATAATATTTATTGCATTTGATGATTTCTGACTCTCTGCTGTGTTTTTTTTCTCAGGTCCCACTTAAAATTAGCCATATGTGCTACTCCTCCTCAGTGGTGAGTTGAAACAGTGCACACTTAATTGTCAGTCTGTTGTTAAAGTTTCATATCAAATGTCATACGTGGATAGTTGGATGCAGATGTGACATAATGTGTCTCATACAGCCCACCACCAAGCTGTTCATCGATGGGAAGTTTGTTGAATCTAAGACTTCAGAGTGGCTGGATATTCACAATCCTGTAAGTATTTCACTTGGCCTGGATCAACGAGCACCACTTATTCTTTTTTAGGGACATCCTATATACTGTACATAGTTGGGTTTAAGTATATCCTCCATAATACTACACTGATGGCAGCGAAGTCTACAAAGTTGCTTGACCTGTTAGATAATGTTGAATGACAGTGCCTGTTCCTCCCAACTGGTTCCTGTGGTTGAATGACCTACAGTAAGCCTTCAGCAAAATTGCCAATGTAAATTTTGTAGTTTGCTTTGTTGTCTGTGCAGATTCAAAGTGTTCCCCAGAATGAAGAAACAGCTTACTGTAATATGTCAACTAAATCAAATAATAACAAAGTATCTGCTGGTCAATGAGAAGCATTTTTTTAAACCTCAGCAACACTTGGACAACAGGTGTTTCATCATGATGTAACAATCATAAATGTTTCCAATGTGGAAATCTGTTATTTGTCACTGATAAACTCTGACCTGCATATTTATGAAAGCCCACATATCTCAGTTAAACATCTGCTAGGATGCACCTGTTACTTAACATTTTCTGGACTCAAACACTCCCCTGATTAGTGAAGCTAATTAATCTCTATGGTATTAAAGTTGTACTTTTTTTTCCCCCTCTTCTCTGCAGGCTACCAATGAGGTGATTGCCCGTGTGCCCAAAGCCACACAGGAGGAGATGTTGGCTGCCGCGGACTCGTGCTCCAGAGCCTTTCACTCATGGTCTGAGACCTCCATCTTGGCTCGGCAGCAGGTCTTTCTCCGCTATCAGCAGCTTATCAAGGACAACATTGTAAGTCAAAGGGTCAGAAAGTGTAAGGTGCAACTGAAAACCAGCACTGTCCAGTTAGATTTTTATTGTTATGTTTTACACCTGTCCCACATTACTTCACAGCCTGTTGTTTCAGGTCATATTAATCCTGAAGTTAAATACAAGGGATTGGCGCTTGTTTTGTGTTTCAGAAAGAACTTGCAAAGGCCATCACGGTGGAACAGGGAAAGACCCTTGCAGATGCAGAGGGGGATGTGTTCAGAGGATTGCGTAAGTTTTAAGTTGCTCACACACGTGCACAAAGATACCTTTTTCAAAGGGCAACAAATAAGTAAACGTTTGCATGTAATGTACACTTTTACTTTGTGGTTGGAAGAATGGTTAATGAGTTATGCTAGTTATGTATCTCAATAAACTGGAACAAAGGTCGGTTTACGTCATGAATTTCCCCTAGGGGATAAGTAAAGTATCTATCTATGAGCCCTCTGAATGATCACCCCTGATTAGCAGCCCAGTACAATTACTGCATTGTGGAAAATCTTATTTTGTCATTTGGTCAAGCTTTTATTCTGAAAATATGTTGTTCCTTTTGAATGAAAAATCTTTAAACAGGAAAAGTGAATCTTATTTGAGCACAGTTTTTTTGTTTTTTTTGTTTTTTTTTTTCTTTTATATTTTTTCTTGAAATGGGTGGATTACTACAGTTTGACATATCTGCAGAAAACAACATGAACCAAATTAACTTGTGTGTTGCACACTCTGTATGTTTCCTCTGCAGAGGTTGTGGAGCACACCTGCAGCATCACCTCTCTGATGCTTGGTGAAACCCTCCCCTCCATCACCAAGGACATGGACACTTACACCTACCGCCTGCCCCTTGGGGTGTGTGCCGGCATTGCCCCCTTCAACTTCCCTGCTATGATCCCTCTGTGGATGTTCCCCATGGGCATGGTGTGTGGCAACACCTACCTTCTGAAGCCTTCAGAGCGAGTGCCAACCTGCGCCATGCTGCTGGCCAAGATGCTCCAGGATGCTGGTGCTCCAGACGGGACTCTCAACGTCATCCACGGCCAACACGATGGTAAGAGCTGGTCTCTGTTACCTTTAGCCAGAGACTGTCAGAAGTGTAGATAGAAGACAGTGTATGGGATGAAACTGTAAATTTGGCCTTCTTGATCTGCCCTAAATAATACAAAGACATCTGAGATTTGGACATGTGCACTTGATAACATGACATACAGAATCTTAGTGTCTGAAATTAATGGTCATTAAGCGTCTTGGTCATGTGCCACAGTGGCTTAAGCGAATTACTTTTTATATTTTTTATCTAGTCCTCTTTAATTAATTTAATTAATTTAATTAATTTAATTAATTAATTAATTTCAAGTGGAGCTGAAATGATCGGTCAATGAACCAATTAGTTAATTGGTATATTTGCTAAATGATTAATTGCTGTAGTCATTTTCCAAGCAAAAATACCCCACATTCACTGGATCCAGCTTCTCCAGTGTGAGGATTAGGTGCTTTTCTTTGTCTTTTATGACAGTAAATCAAGTATCTTCAGGTTTTTCACAGTTAGTCAGATAAAAAAAAGACATTTCAATCTGTCTCTTGTTGCTCTGGAAAATTGTGATGGTTATTTTTCACTATTTTCTAACATTTAGTTGGCTAAACACAATTAACTGGGTAATCTAGAAAATATACTACAGATTAAAGGAAAATGAAAATATTTGTTAGTTGCAGCTTTGTAGCTTTATATATACAAAAATTAAATCGAACCTTTTTTTCCAGGGTAAATGATACATTTGTCAAAAAAGAGGGAGGATGTCCTTCACATTTTGCAAGAGTCCAGGGATTCATCTTAAAAATAGTTCTCTCAATCATGAAGCGAAAGAGGAAGTTCATTTCGGCATTGAAGAACCTTAGTAATTTTTTTGTTAATTTGAAATTCAGAACTAACAAGAATCTATAATGATGACAGTTGATCAGTTTTTCATTTCTTGGGTTAATTGCATAATTTTCTGTGTAATGCAGTACAACACAGTAATTGACGTTGACATTTCTCAAACTGTTTTTCTGCCGCAGCTGTGAACTTCATCTGTGACCATCCAGCCATCAGGGCAATCAGCTTTGTTGGCTCAAATCAAGCTGGGGAGTATATTTATGAGATGGGTTCTAAAAATGGCAAGAGAGTCCAGTCAAACATGGTGAGTATCAAATGATAAAGCAACACCAGTTATTGCCTGAGACTTGCTGGAAATGTCCAGCAGGTGGCAGCGTTGGCCAACAGATTGTTGTTATCATTGATGAAGTGGGAAGGTGCAAAACAGACACTACAGCTGTGCATCACTGGAGACCCAAACTGTGAATTATAAATGTTCCATTTATTTATTTCCATCAGTCCTTTCAGTGACATGGACTAAAATGTGGGAGTTTACTATGTGAAATTTGTAGATTGTTTGTTTATAATTCCCTGATATTATGTTCTTACTTGTGACTAACCACTTGCTGTAATGTGGAGATCAAACTGCAGAAGGCTAACCACTTCTCATGTACTGTAGGGAGCCAAGAACCATGGTGTGGTGATGCCCGATGCCAACAAGGAGAATACTCTGAACCAGCTCGTGGGTGCAGCATTTGGGGCAGCTGGACAGCGCTGTATGGCTCTGTCCACAGCCATCCTAGTAGGCGAGGCACGGAGCTGGCTGCCGGAGCTGGTGGAGCGTTCCAAGGCTCTGCGCGTGAATGCAGGTACCGCGCCCCATCACCCCACCCTTCACCTCTGTCTCTCCTGAGCCCCTTTTTCTTCCGAGGGCCTTTGGTTTAGTCATCTTGGGGCCACCCACGCCGCCATAACCACACCTCTCGCCTTCTGCCCTGTTGTAACTCCACATTGGAGTCAGCTGGGAGAGAGGGCTTGTTGAGTCAGCCATGCTGCAAATTTGTGGCCAGATCTGTGGCCTAGACCTAAATAGCGGTTCAGAGCATCAAATCCTTTGAGAAAGGAAATTGATGTGAAGTAGAATGGAGAATGATACTCCCTGTTCGCTAATTTGTGCAGTACACAGGAAACCCGTAAGTAGCCATTTTTGAGGGAGTGCCTCAGGGTGCCCCTCATCCTGGCTTTTGCGTTTGTGGCAAAAGAAGCATTTGAATGTCCTTGCCCTTGATGTGCTCACATCATGCGACTGCCACAGCATGTAACCTTATAGCTTGTTGTTTCTGGGGCCCTGCTAGGAGACCAGCCTGGTGCAGATGTGGGGCCTCTGATCTCTCCCCAGGCCAAGGAGAGAGTCTGCAGTCTGATCCAGAGTGGCGTGGACGAGGGAGCAAAGCTGCTCCTTGATGGCCGAAATGTTAAAGTTAAGGGTTACGAGAACGGCAACTTTGTGGCTCCCACCATCATTGGCGGTGTCACAGTATGTGGGTTTAATATCTTTATGTGCACGCAATAAATGTATTCATCGGAGTACCATTTAAAAAGAAACTAAATTGCCAATAAGTGTTCACCTTTGTGCTCTTACAGTCTGAGATGAAGTGCTACACTGAAGAGATCTTCGGGCCTGTGTTGGTTGTTCTCGAGGCAGACACTCTGGATGATGCCATCAGCTTGGTTAACAGGAACCCCTATGGCAACGGTACAGCTATCTTCACCACAAATGGCGCCACTGCACGCAAATTCACTCACGAGGTGGACGTGGGCCAGGTGAGTGGCTGCAGCTTCAAAATGTGTTCCTCTGTTTTGGGAGAAAGGAGACATTCACATCCCTCTGTCATTTCTATACAGCATTTGTAGCAGGGAGCACATCACACTTCTGTTTGAAAACTTTAACTCTAAAAAAAAAAACAAAAAAAAAACAAAAAAACAATTATTTTCCATGTCAAGTATAGCCTTGTTTGCCCCTGACCTAAAATACACACATTCGGCAACCCCCTTCCCTCCGCTTCCCCACCAGTCAAGACTACAAATAGCTACAGCAAATATGTGTCTTAAATGAAAACAGGGGGACATAGAAACATTTTTACAGGTAGTATTCGAGGAGGGAAAATCTTAAATTCATCTCGAAAGGGATTCCTAGGATCCTGTTCAACGTTAAAGCATAAATATGGCCAGCTTTTTTCCCTGTTTGTTTGCCTGTGGAGCCTAGTTATGCCCTGTGTTTGCTGTTCACATGTCGGGGAATGCTGTGCAGGCCATGTGCTATACTCCTCTCCAAACCTCGATGCAACAAACATCTACTTTTCCTTTTTTTTCCCCCCCGCACCTTCACCAAAAGGCCTTAGTGTGTCCAAACTTATTCTCGCTGTTACAAACACTCCAAACCAACCGTGCCATGCCTCTATTGCCTTCATAACAAAATGTTTTATTTAGTTTTTCCTCCCTTTCATAAGAGCATGCTATGCTTTCAAAACTGCAAATATAAGCCACAGGTTTAACTGTGTTTATTGCGATCATGTAAGCTTGTTTTTTAAACAGCATAGATGTACCACATCTCTCATCAGCCACATCTTACTCATGCTAGCAATTTGGGATTCCGGGGAATTACTTTCCAAAACTTACACTTATGGAAATGAAAGGGACAATACTTGTTTTTTGCAGATTGGAGTCAATGTTCCCATCCCTGTTCCACTGCCAATGTTCTCCTTTACTGGTTCAAGAGGCTCCTTCAGAGGGGACATGAACTTCTATGGAAAACAAGTAAGTATCTCACAAACAGCACAAACCCAACAGTCTGTTTTGATGTAAACATTTTTATTTTTTTCTCTCTAGGGCATCCAGTTCTACACACAGATCAAAACTGTAACCTCACAATGGAAAGCTGAAGATGCCACCTTGAAAAGTCCTGCTGTTACCATGCCTACTATGGGACGCTAAATACTCCATACAAATGCTACTGTTCAGTCTGATAAACCAGAACACCTTAATAACCCTTTTTCAATGCACAAAACCGACTAACTATGTTCACTGTGAATAGTTCATGAATAGTTCATGAATACTAAATACTCCCCTTTTGGAAGATTTTATATTAGATGTGTGTATATATAGATATTCTTATATGTAAACCACTGTGGCCAAGATATCAACAATGCAAAAGATCTGTACAGATTAGGCAATGTTTGTACGGATCCAAGTCACTTCCTCAAATACAATGTTGTCAAGGTTCTCACTGCATTTTATTCCACTGACCCACTATCCAATGATTGTTTAGAGATCTTGTTTATCTGAGGTAAATTTTGGTGTCAGCACTTTGTTGTCAGAGAGAAGTTTTGAATTGAGTGAAATGATCCTTTAAATTCATTGTGACAGAATTGAAATAAGCTTCATATATGAAAGAGAGAACTCACAAGCCATAGATATATGCATGGTAAGATATTTATGAGCACAAACAAACATCTTGTATTCTGCTATACACATGATTGACACTCTGTGGGAAGTGCACAGAGCAGAGGCAAACAATCCAGAGTGTGATGAGTGATGTAGAGGCCACACAGAGGTCATGTGGTGTGTATATCCGGCAGGCTGTTTGGGTTCGAGGGCAGAACGGACTCAGGCGCCTGGGTGATGAAGGTCGCCGGGCAGAGCTCCTCTCTAATTCTGGAAGACAGTCATCATTATGCAACGCTAAAATGCGGCCGTCTTGATAAATCACACGTGAGCACTCATGTTCTCAGAGCCAATGCTTTCTCAGCTAAACATGGAATGTGGGTCCAGTAAATCTGCACAGGCTTTGTAATTGCAAGGATGAGGAACAACTTTTATTCTAGTACATTCCTTTAGTGTCTTACCCGGCAGCATCACTGTCAAGAAAGCTCTTCTTCTCAGAGGACGCAGACAAGGCCAGATGGTGGCTGACTTTCCTATCAGGACACAGGCAGAGTTGCAGTTAAATACAAAACCTCATAGTGAAAAGCCATGTTTTAGCACACGGGTGTCTGTTCACTCAGGCCTACAGTCTGTCTTGGAAAGGGGTTACTCTGGGTCAACACAATGCACATGGACTTGACTGCTGGTAACTGACTCTTGAGTTGCCAAATGTTCTGTGTTAGGCCGCTGGACTAGGTGCCAGACCACTGCTAACATGAATATACATCTCCTCTTGCCTGCTATACCGCCATACATCCAGATCCCCTGCATACTCCTTTCTGAAAATCATGTTACCAGCTGCTCTTTGACCACAAGTGTTCAAAGAACAAAATAAACTGCTGGTGCACATGAAGAGGGGCCAATAGGCTGAAAAGCAAATCGACGTGACCAGATGTTTGTTTCCAAGCACACGACTCTGCGGCTGGGCCTATTTTTACTATTGTGCCCAGACTCTTTCTTCATTCTTTTTAAGCAGCAGAATGGAAAAGAAAATTGGTTGAAGCCTAACTGATGTTTTATGGTATCCTCTTCTGCTGAGAAAATGGCTGTTTAAAACATTAAAAAGAGGGAGGAGTCTCCAGAGGTTCAGCCTGAACTACTGCTCGGTGTCACTAAACTTTGTTCCTCAGAGTTAATTGATGCAAAAGTTTAAGTTCATTTTAGGGGAATATAAATGGATTTTAATGTATTAACTAGGATGAAGTCGATGAGTGATGAACAAGCAACCAGACCAAGTCTTTCTAAGTCAAACATAAACAATTAATGAGAAGTTTAATTACCTTTCCTTCTGTCCATTCATTTTAGCAAACAGAAGCCTGAGCACTTGTTCCCTCTGCTCCCAAGTAAGATCTGAGATTTCAACTTTGCTGCCTGGTTGATGTGTCCTAAAATAACAGGACGATGAAATCAAAAGTAATATCAAACTCTGCTTTTGCACAAATTCATTTAGGCTGTATGAAGAAGAACCTCGAAGAGTGTTGAAGTTTGATGACCACTGAATGAGCTGCAGTTGACTTGGCACTAATAAACATGTGGAATTAAAAGTATCACAAAAACATACAATTGTACAAGTCATGGAAATGATGGGAAGTGGACCTACCACGTTGCAGCTGCCTCCATGTCTGAATAGACAGAGTTGGTACTGTGGGGGCTTTCATGGAAGGTGCGGATGGGTGGGAACTTCAGCTTTCCTGCTGTGGCTTCTTTCAACCTCCAGCGATAAGCCTGCAGAGCCTCCTTTTTGTATTGCAGCCTGCTAGCCATGATCTCCTGCTTCACCTGAGCCAGTGACTCGTGGAAGAACTGCTCCAGCTCTGTGCGCTGCTCCACAACGGTGCTTGCTAGCCGCTTGATGTGCCCTAATTCTCTTTCTCGCATGGTGAGCACTTTCTGAAGCTTCTCCAACTCTACCTGGCTGGCCTGTGTTCTGACCAAGATCTTCTCCTTCTCTTTCTTTTCCTCTCGCTCAGGTTCTGCAGTCTTTTGCTCCAGGGCCTGCTCCAGGGAAACTACCTTGGCTCTAAGTTTTGATAGCTGTCTTTTTTGGGCCTCCATCTGAGCTGCATTCTTCTTTACCATCAACTCAAAGGTGTTCTGGGTGAGTAGAGAGAAGAGCACAGTAGTAAAATAGATGACACCCACACAGCTAACTTAGGAAAATCCTTTCATTTACATGCCAATATAGGAGTAGAACAGATAATGATTTGTCTGCTAGCCTGTGCTGCTGAGTGAGCGGCCAAAGCATCAACAAGGAGGGTTTACTCCCTTGATTGACTGTCATCATCACTGGTAAGATTAATGTGCCCAATATTTATTTATCTTAAAGAATCAGTGCCAGAAACCTGCGAAGGAGAAGCCACTGAATTTGAACCCATACACCAGTGGAAACTCACCACAACCACTGACCACTGAGAGGCTGGGTAGTAGTCAGGAGGTGGGGGGGTAGGAGTAGGACCACAAGGAAAATACACAAGGTCAGCACAAGTAAACAACACAAGGGAAAAACCACCTGAAATATATTCTGGACAGATTTGACAAGTGTTTCATAACTGAAATGATTGAAAATGACTTTATGGAGATGAATGCTCTCTGTCCAAGGACTGGTGGTGCCTAATAGTAACGTTGCTGTTTGCTGTCCTATGGTTCAAACATACCTTGTCCAGTGCCAGCGAGGCATTTTGCTTTGCCAGTGAGTTTGACAATTTCTGCAGGTCCTCTGCCTCCTTTACGTGATATTTCAGTGCTTCATTGAGACGGACGTTCTCCTTAAACACAGAGCGCGAGGCATCGTCCAACTGCCTAAATAGTTTACAGTACAAACAAATGAGCCACTGAGAAATTTGTCTCTAATTATGAACACACCACTATAAATCTTAATTTTGTGCCTGACAGCATTTGTACACAGGTTGGATTTATTTTAATCTGCACAGAGTGTCCCAAGTAGAGTAAAACAAATGCTTTATGTAATATTTTAAGACTGTTTATTAGTCAGTGTAGTAATGGCTTTAAATGTGAGGGGATTGAGTTATGACCATGTTGAACATATCGCACAATTTCACTCTCAGTTTCTTGGTTCTTACACAGAAAACTAAATTAACTGAGCCACTGTACTTGGGTTCCAAAGACAACCTAAGCATGTTCAAAAGAAAATCAATTACTGACACTATGACCAAAGCGACAGGACCACACCAGTATCAATGTTGATGTTTTATGAGCTGTAAAAAAATAACTAAACATAGCAATGGCGAAATATACATCCCATGGCCTCAAAAGTAATAAACTATGGCCTTCCACACACGCTTTACCCTCTCCTCCCTTCAGGACATTCTGGGACGGCTGAGGATGTGATCATTGGCTTAGGTGATGTACACTATAATGAACATGACGAACTGGTGTGGTCAAGAAAATAACATTAGTTCTAGTTATATATATATTTATACACATAAACACTTATGTGAGTAAATTATTTTTTCTTTGCACTCTGAGCACATCAAAGTGCAGTTTAAAGAATAAAATTAGATTGTAAAGGCACAGTGGAAACACACTCACACAATGGCTTCATTGTGGGCCCTGTCCACCACCAGGGCTATCTTTCGCGCGGCTTCTCTCTCCAGGCGAGCCTGCAGGGAAATTTATGAAACTCTTTCACTGTTCCAACTGAACAGATCTATTCCACAATAATTTCACCACATCATATGTCATCATCCTATCATAACCATATGGATGCGAGTGGGATCATTTTAGGTAACTTGTTAGTTTTTGACGATACCTTTTCTTTGAAGAATTTGCCCTCCATTTTGTTTAAGTTTTCCCTGTGTTCCTTTTCAGCAATATCCATGCTTTCTCTCATCTACAACATAAAAAGTCATGGTAACTGGTAGCATTTTAACACCCTGACAAAAAGGATGACCACTGTTTAATAGGTGTCCTCCTCATGTTTTTCCTCACATCATTGAGCTCCTGCTCCATCCTGGCTTTCCTCTTCTGAAACTCCTCAATTTTCCTCATACCATCCTGGATCGTGTTAAAGTCACTGGATTTCTTTCTGAACAGTTCTTTCATCTCGTTGATTTGAAGTGTGTAATCTTCAACCTGTTGAAACCAACCTTATAATTAGATGCACAAAATGAAACACATTCCACATATTAAATGTAGACCAAAACTGTAAAAATGTGTCCACTAATCTATATAATAGAGCTGCTGCAACGTTCCCATAAGTGCAGCTTGTATCAGTTTTAAGGAAGAGGATTTTTGTCCAAAAGTTCACATTGGCCATGCTCTTTTGCAAACCAACTTTAAGCACAGATCAGTCAGCCTAAATACCTCAAGATGCTACTGTGGAGAAGCTAGTCTGAGCAAAAATGTGACAAAGTGACCAAAGTCATGAGAAACTACCAAAACATGCACCCACAAACATGTACATGACGACTAAATGAGAGGTTATCAACCATCTGATTACAACTTTAGGCCTAATCGTTATTCTTCAGATAACTCTGTATACGTTCCTCTACATCAATGCACCAGTGTGCAGTATTTACACAAGTTGGTTTGCATCATATGCAATTTTCACTCTCTGTGGTCTATCAAATCATGAGCTTAAAAATATATCCACAAGTTTAAAGTTAACAGTGATTAGTGTTGCATGCACCCGTCTTGTCCTCTTGCTGTGAAGTAACTGCATTATAAAAGTCTTTATAGAATAGAGATTTGGATCACTGGATATCTCAACACTCGAAGAGTTTCATCATGTCTCTTCTTAGACAAAAGCCAGGGCATTTACGTTCTCTGAGTGCCTCTGA